GATTCTGAGTTTGTTGTTTTATTATGCCAACATTTAAATGCAAATTTTAATATGAGAAAACAACATTAGTACAATATAGGCATATTACAATCATTATACATATACTATTTGTATACATTTTATAAAAATTAACATTTTCCTAAAAGTTGACAGTTAACTCTCCGTTCAATATGCATTTGTATATAATATATGTTTGATTTGTTCTGTTTATTGTTATTTATGACTATGATTTCGGACATTGTTCATCCACTGTGGGCCCAAATTGGTTGAATAAATATTCTATTCTAATCTAAAATGTATATATAAGCCATCCCCCCCCCCCTACGAAATAGGTTTTTCACGTATGGGAAAGGAATTTACTTTTTTTTTTTTTTTTGCTCGTCAAGAAATTTCTGGGTTTGAATTTTTTTTTGACTGGGGTGGACCCCCCCCCCCCCCCGGACAAAAATTCCTGGATCCGCGCCTGAGAGCAACTACTGAATTACTGTACGGTTCATTACTAGTGAGTCGCCTTCGTTGTTTTGAGGTTGTAGATACGCGTGTTTGGATCTAACATCAGGCACGTAGTATCGGGGGGGGGGGGGGGCTAATCTTTTGTTGATAATCTAGAATAGAAATTTTCATTGAAAAACCGACCCCGACCCCTCTCTTCCCATTTTTGGTTGCATTATGGTCAAACTCACGTTAACTAATGTATCCATAATTTTCTTGCTAAGAAGGAAATTCAGTTGAACCTAACCCCAACCTCCCAGCCCACCCACCCCCAACCCCCATGCAATTCTTTTTTTTATTTGGATTCTTTTAAAAATATAGGTCTATTGTTTTTTTCCCAAATATCTTGTTAATTGTTTTTTCTGCCCCCCCCCCCCCCCCGTTAAAAAGGGGAATGGTGCTGGTACGTGAACGCTTTTTTTACTCAATGGATACTTTTTCTTTAAAACAAGACATTCTGACACTTAAAATCATGATACATCATATGTAGCATAGGGTGGGGTAAGTGGCGAGCCAAAATTTATATAAATAAAAACAACAGTATAATATAGTATATGACAATTAAAGTAAAAAGCCTGAAAAAAACACTTGGACAATTAAGCTCAAAAGGGGAAAGGACAGATTAGGAGCTTAAAGAATGTGTTTTCTGTGGTGTCCGGATAGGGCCATTTTCGAAAGTGTAACAGCGCGTTAGGAACAACGCTCTAGCGCAGAGTGACAACATCCTTTTTCTTTCTGTACTCCAGGGAGAGGGGTGTAGTGATAGCAAACTGTATTACCTCATTGGAGGGTATTGAGAAATATCCTTACCTCTGTTGGGCTGAAAGTGCGAAAGTGAGAATCAGTTTTTGATTGAATAATTATGTATTAATTCATAATCCTCCTTTTCATACGGAGCATAGGTTTTACGTAAACCTGCTTATTTTATTCAAACATCAGATTTTTTTTTACTTCAGACAGTATTAAGACTATGCAATCTAATTACATGTAAATTTAGATATTCCATTCGCTCCCCGATTTTTTATATGCCCTAGCGACATATGAAAAATCGGGGAGCTAATGGAAGATTTACAGGTAATTTTATTTAGATTAAAAGACTATGCATCCATGCATCATTAAGGTCAGACGACACGTTCCTCAAAAATATATAATTTTTCCCAAGAATTTGTCATTGAAGTATTGCTACTTAAACAAGTTTCCTCACCAAAAATTGAGGTACCTTACCAGGCATTTGGGCAAGATACCAGAGGGTGATATTTCCTATATAATCCATATAGGTAATCTTTTGAATTGCCAATGTTACAATTTCTGGTGTACTTATTTTTTGAAACATATTGAAAACAATTAAGAAATCACAAGAGAATGACAATTATGAATAATTTTTGATATAATACCAAGGTATACAAAACATATAATTGAGTAACGTGTCGTCTGACCTTAAAGGGGGTGCTGTTAAGACCTATAGTGATAAAAGCGAGACAACTCAAAAAAGATTTGTTTCAACCCAGTCTCCACTAGGGCTACTGTGACAAGTGCGTATGCTCCGCCTACATTTTACACTCTCAATGTAAATTAATAGTTGTATATCATTTCAAATTAGTCATAAAATGACCATTTTGTATTTTGCTCTGTAAACATGCCCCCCCCCCCCCCCGTGAAACAATAAAAGCTGTTTTCCATTGATTTCTATTAGTCCAATCAATTTAGCTAAAATATGGGCCCAACGTCAAACTAATTGCAACATGAATTATTTTGTCATAAAAATTAAATCTAACATGTACAAAATATTTGATGTACTCAAAAGAAAATTCCTGTTTTTCGTGAAAGCATTATCCGAATCAAACTTTTTTGATACAGTTTAATAGATCATTATTTAAAAGAGGTTATATAAATTTGAAATGGATACTTTGAATTTACTTTCAAACTTTTTGTTAATTTGGAAATACTGAAATTTTTTGATAGATAGTGAATACAGACTTTTAAAAAGAATATATAAGTATATAAGTTAATGCATGATGATGCTTCTATATCAATATGACTTATCACAGTGTTGTTGTTCTTGAGAAGATTTAAAAAAAAAATCATATGTATTTATTCCTATGTAAAATTTCGATCCTCTATTGTGGCTCCACCCTTCCCCCGGGGGTCATGATTTAAACAACTTGAATCTACACTATGTAATGAAGGTTTCACATAAGTTTCAACTTTTCTGGCCTGATGCTTCTTGAGAAGAAGAGTTTTGAAAGATGACACCAAATTTTCACGAATTCTTAATTATCCCCCTTTGAAAGAGGGTGTGGCCCTTTATTTGAATAAACACAAATCCCCTTCACCCAAGGATGCTTTGTGGCAAGTTTGGTCAAAACTGGTCCCGTGGTTCTTGAGAAGAAGTCGAAAATGTGAAAAAGTTTACAGACGGACAGACACACAGACAGACGCCAGACAAAATGTGATCAGAAAAGCTCACTTGAGCTTTCAGCTCAGGTGAGCTAAAAACATATCCATAAAGATTTAGAGACAAAATCTGACCTACATGTATATGTTTTAAGAACTCTACCCTAAAATTTTATTATTAAGAGTTACGTTCTCAATTGCAAGTGTCAGGCGCGGATTGTTTGGAAAATTGGCCATATACGGTATTTTTATTATACCGTATATGGCCAATTTTTTAACCTTATCAAAAGTACAAACCAATTGCACAGAATGACTTACAGATAATTGACGGAGAAATCACAAATTTTAGAGAAAATAGGGACTCCTTATATTTTATTAGTTAGTTGGGGGGTGGGGGTGGGGCTGTGATCCATGCTTCAGGTGACTGTGAGAAATAGATCTATTACCCGAACTTCAAACACTGACCCAATTTCCTTTCTTGAAGGAAAAATTTTAGATAAGGAAAAGACGCATATTCGGCAATTATCAAAATTGAATTTGAATCTCTGGTGAGTTACGTAAGAAGAAGAACAAGATGTGTTTGTAAAACACTGATGCCCGTGTATGGCAGCTTATGGCGAAAGTTAAATTTCTCAAATGCAAGTCAAACTCAGGTCAATAGATTAATAATGTTGGTACTCAAAGAAAGATATTGTCTCAAGGAATATACTTGTGAAATATGAAAGCACTAGCGCCAACCGTTGAAAAGCTATGGCGAAGGTTAAAGTTTTTTAAAAAGTAATTAATACGGCAAGGTTAAGGTCAAATGGTGCCTAAGAGAAGGTCTTGTCACAAGTGATACATATGATCGTAAAATGTGAAAGCCCTAGAACCAAACGTTCAAATGTTATGACCAAGGTTAAAGTTTTTTAAAGTAGGTCAAACTACAAGGTCAAGGTCAATGTCAAAATTGTTGGTATCCAAAGAAGGTCTTGTCACAAGGATAATACATGTAAAGTATGAAAGCCCCAGCTCCAACTGTTCAAAAGTTATGGCCAAGGTTAAAGTTTTTCAAAAGTAGGTCAAACTCCAAAGTCAACATCAAAGGGTCAAAGTTGTTGGTATCCAAAGGAAGGTCTTGTACAAGGAAAGGATATGTGAAGTATGAAAGCCCTAACATCAACTGTTCAAAAGTTATGACCAAGGTTAAAGTTTAACAAAAGTGGGTCAAACCCCAGGTCACGGTCAAAGTTGTTGATATCTAAAGGAAGATCTTGTCACAAGGAATGCAGATGTGAAGCAAAAAAGCCCCAGCAGCAACTGTTAAAAGTTATGGCCAAGGTTGAAGTTTTTCAAAAGTAGGTCAAACTCCAGGGTCAAGGTCAAAGATGTTGGTATCCAAAGATAGTCTTGCCACAAGGAATACACATGTGAAGTATGAAAGCCCTGGCACTAACTGTTCAAAAGTTATGGCCAAGGCTAAAGTTTTTCAAAAGTAGGTCAAATTCCTAGGTCAAGGTCAAAGTTGTTGGTATCCAAAGGAAGGTCTTGATACAAGGAATACACATGTGAAGTATGAAAGCCCTAGCACAAACTGTTCAAAAGTTAGGGCCAAGGTTAATGTTTCTTCAAAAGTAGGTCAAACTCCAAGGAAGGTCAAAGTTGTTGGTATCCAAAGAAAGGTCTTGTCACAAGGAATACACATGTGAAGTTTGAAAGCACTAAATGTTTAAAAGTTACATGGCCAAGGTTAAAGTCTCATAAAATTTTGCAAAAGTGAGTCAAACTCCAAAGTCAAAGTCAAAAGGTCAAATATGATGGTGCACAAAGAAAGGTCTTGTCACAGGGAATACACATGTGGAATATGAAAGCCATATCTCCAACCAATCAAAAGTTATAGGCAAGAATAAAGTTTTTGCTGACAAACAGACAGACAGACAGCTAGACAGACAGACAGACAGACAGCTAGACAGACAGACAGACAGACGGACGGGACAAAAACCATATGCCTCCGAATCTTCGATTACCGGGGCATAAAAAATAAATAAAAGTTCAGTAAACATGGCTGTTGAATTTTCCCGCCATAGAGATGATTGTTTCGGAGCTCCTCCGGTGTTTACACGGGTGTCATTCGGAATTACCAGAATAGAAACAACATGGCGATAAGACAACGTCCGTCTAAAATGAAACTATGAAGGAACTACCAGACTCCCACGAGCAGAGATGACCTCTTGGGATGTTTTGGTTGTTTCTGTCCACGCATTGCCCAAGAGATGAAGAAGGCAACAGAAAAACCCGGAGAATCAAAACCGGATGTTGACAAAGCAAAACGTGTTTACAGGTCCTCGTTTTTTTCCCATTCTAGCACACATTTCCTTGTCTTTTAGATCTGTTCAAAGTTATAAATTTAATTTCAGTGATAACAAAGTTTTGACAGTTTATCTATTATTCATGTTAATCGTAAATTGCAAGCATGTGCTACACATGACCTTGGTAATGGTTTATTTAAAACTGTATGATGTATCACAGCTGTATCAGGAAAGAGAATATTCATGGCAGGACTAGGAATCGAACCCGGGACCCTGCATTACTAGCCAGGTGCTCTACCCACTGAGCAATCTTCAGGTCAAAATCCGTATTCTGTATAGCTCAAATCACTACACTACTACATTCCCCCAACCTTAAATTGTCATGGTTTCAGAAGACACAACTCTTTAGGTTTCTTTCACCCATGCAAGCAGGACACTCCTGCAAGTCTAGCCATGTCAATGGCATCAAAGTAACAGGAATGGGGAAAAAATATGCCTGGAATTTCTAACCACCTAGCTATCTCCAGGTCCATATAGCCCAGTTCACTTCAGATGGAATTGAGCTGTATTGCTTATGCTATTTTTTTTTTTCATAGAAATAATCTTTCTTTGAATCAGCTTTTACTCTTACAAAGTTATCTTATTTTTTTCATTCTTCAGTCTGAAGTTTATATGTTGAAGTGTCTGACATCTAGTAGCCATATATCATCACACATAATAGTTAAACAGGATAGGGACAGGGAATGGGAGTACCCAGGAAACATAAATGGGAATCAAATTTCATTGTGTTCATGATTTAGTAATAACCAAATCTCTTCTGCTGACAGTTATACATACAACTTTGGGCTAACATTATTTCATTACAACATTAGTATCTATTATTGATATGTCTACATATTGTTATTGAATACATTTATGTAAAAAAAAAAAACCAAAACAACAACAACAACAAAAATAACCTCAATCTGTGGAGAGAATTTATTTATTACTACTGTCAAACTAAATTCATAACAACAGAGACCTATATACTAACGGGATAGGCAACTCCTTCAGGGCCATGTTTATTTACCCAAAACAGCACACACAACACTGCAAGTTTTTCAAACTACTTTTTTCCCCAGTCAAAAGCTTGTTTTCTGATTAATGTAATCTGTCCTTTTTGTGTATCGGAATGGATATTTAATAAATTTTAAAGCACATATTATAAAATAATTTAGATATTAAGTAAACAACCACCAAAATCGGCGATTTCTCGGAAATTTGGCCGATCAGGGGCACGCACCGATTTTTAAATAAACGTAATTACTTCTAAGATGAGTAAAAATGGTGCTTATAACAAATCTTGAATAGTTTTTTGATAGATAAATTAAGATTTTATTCTGAAATATTTGATAGCAAAAGAGATATATTTAATTAAAATTGACTTACGAAATCCCGCAACTTACGAGGTATCGTGAGACTTGCGAGAGTTGCCTATCCTGTTAGTATATAGGTCCCTGATAACAATGAACAAAATATTTTGAAAATCCCAGACTTTTATACTACTCTCTTGTAATTTTCACAGGGTAGCTTTAGATGCTATAAAGAAGCTTGATGAGATTTTGAAGCAGAAGAAGGCATACAGAGATGTCTTTCTACAGGATGCTGTGGGACTCAGAAACAAGTAATTTACTAAGTGTTTTTAATAAGTATCTGGAATTCAGCAGGACTGAC